CGTAAAATTCTTCTTAGATTTAATTATTAAATTTTCTTAGAAAAATATTTTTATAGAGTTGAAATAGACTTTATGTTCAAGGAATCTGTCACTCAGAAGAAATTTAATAAAAAAATCATAAAATCAAAATAAAAAAACATCACTGTTAATAATATTAAGTACACATGAAAAAGTAAAATTAAGAGATTTTTTAAGAAATTAATTTTTATAGAGTTGAAATAGACTTTATGTTTGGGGATCTGTCACTCATGGGGAGTTCAGTTTTTTGTGAAAACCACGGTCACCTCGATATCAAAGAAATAAAAAAATAACGGTTGGTAGACCTGACTGACCTTTCACATACTCGCACACTAGATACAGCATTGTTTTAGTATCTTGTTCCGCTATCAACGACATAATATTGGGATGGTTGACCCTTCTCAAGATTTTGACTTCATTTTCAATCATATCTTCCTACAAAAATAAATTTTTAGCACAAATAATTTGAAAAAAAATCAAACTTACTTTCCCTTTACATTTGGATTTATCAATAATTTTTAAGGCAAACTCCTCCTCGCTCGTTGTACTTTTACACAGTCTCACAACCGCAAAATTCCCATCACCGATCATCCTACCAACCGTATACTTCTGCCTTAACGAAAGCGGCAAAATAATATTATTGTCTTCACCTAATCTACGAAGCAAACTTTCCGAAGACTCGTACGTTCGGTTCAGTTCTTTTTTAGGCATTTTTGGTTTAGGACCAGCACTAAAAAGCAAAATTACCTACACAAAAAAACGAAAAAAAATAACGTACCCGTTTTTAAGGCCGGGGGTTTTCTTATAATGTTGTATTGCTTTACTTTCCTCGAATTCCAATTCGAAATCGTCCTGAGAAAACCGTTCGTTGCCGTAGACGAAAAAAACGTCCTCAGATGAGAAAAACTGAGACAAAATCGTGACAGCTTGACCCGAAAGTGTGAAAACTTTCCGAACAGCGCCTGAGTCGAGTTGCGCCGCTTCGGTTAAAGCACTCAAGACTTGTTCCATACTCGAGGCGTTGCGTTTGTTGATCAATAATCGAATAATCTGGGGACAAAAAAATTAAAAACAAACACAAAATGAGTTTTTTGGGGTACCTTTCGTGGTTTAATTCCGTTCCTAATTAACGTGACTATGCGAGGCCGAACACAATCTGGGGGTATTATTTTTGGGGTGTGTATCATTGTATTATTAAATTTATTGGACTGTCTTTTTTTGAGAGTGTCGGTTTTCGTGTATTCAATTCGCTTGAAAATCTCGCCTTTGCCGCTACAGACGTACTCTTTCCCGTCTTCTAAATCGTCCAAGCTACAAACCTGGAGCAAAAAGTTAGTTTTTTGTCGTCGATTTTATGAAAAAGGTACTTTTTTGCCTTGCATTGAGTAGATATTTCGCACACCGCTCGGGAGAGTGACACTCTTGGTGAGGATGTTCGTGAGTTCGGTTGTTAAACTGTCAAAGGATCTGTACCGTTCGGGGGCTACTGGAATGACAACTCCGTTAAAAAACTTATTCCCGTTGTGATAAAACCGGATTCTTTTCGCTTTCTGCGTCCGCGACGTCGAAGAGGGTCTACTTTTACTTAAATTTAGCTCCTCAATGCCATTATCGATGATTTCAAAGTCGGATTGGATGCTGTTGCAACTGGTCGATGAGACACTCCGTGAGCCACTGATGTTGTTCTTCGACATTTTGTCCGGTTGAGATTTTCACACTTGGCTTGAAATCATCGTAGCATTGTTGGTGTTTAATCAATGGGGTTGTTTTTTAACCAAAACTTGGAAACTGGTACCGCCTATTTGCCAGCTGTCACTGAAACTACACCAAACATTAATTCTCACTGATTCCTGAATGAGTCTCTGGCTGTTTTTACGGCACACTTCACACACAACACAATCAAACTATAATCTCATTATGAAAAAATTAGATTTTACGCTAAACTAACTGTTTTTACGGTTAAAAAGGTAATAACCTCTTTTCGGCAAGTGGGAGGGATGAAATTTGTGACACATGGCCACCAACCCAACATTTTATTCTCCCGCCCTGATAACGAGTAATATAACGTCGCGTGCCTTATCACCACTTTAGGAACAATCACGATCACACTTTATTTAATAATTGTGTAAAAATAGCTCAAATGAGTCAATAATTAATTGTAAAATTGAGTAATTTGAGTCAGCGTGGTTGGCATTACTTACTGTCATTCGTGACCAGTTTTTAAAAATGGTTCGCAAATTGAAATTTCATGAGCAAAAACTATTGAAAAAAGTCGATTTTATATCATGGGAGGTGGACAATAATTTACACGAAGTGAAAATTCTCAAGAAGTATCACATTCAGAAACGAGAGGATTATACAAAGTGAGGTTATGACTTTTTTGACATGTGTTATTTTATTTTTGCAGTTACAATAAATTGGCACGTAATATTCGAGAACTAGCCCGTAAAATTAAAGAAGTGGACCCTAAAGACTCCTTTCGGACCGAGAAAAGTGCCCAATTATTAGAAAAATTGTATGTGGGTGGGATTTTGTCGAAAGTGAGGTTATTTTTTTGTTGTAGGTATCTAATGGGTTTAATTCCGACGCGGTGGGATTTAAGTCTAGCTGAGAAAGTAACAGCGTCGTGTTTTTGTCGACGGCGATTGGCTGTTGTAATGGTTAGAAGTGAGTGTCAATTTTTGTTAAAATTTTGTCTCAGTTTGGAATTTTTAGATAAAATGGCTGAAAGTATCAAGGGCGCTACTAAATTAATTGAACAGGGGCATGTCAGAGTCGGGCCTGAGTTGGTTAAAGACCCCGCATTGTTAGTAACAAGGACTTTGGAAGATTTTGTAACGTGGGTCGATAACTCGAAGATTAAACAACATGTGCTTGAATACAATGGAATGGTGAGGATTAAAATAATGCAGGAAACCGGTTTTTACCCCCTTTTTTGCAGAGAGATGATTTCGTGTTGTGATGTGATCTTAGTCTGATTTATGAAAGCTACTTGTTTTGTATTGTAAACAAGGCAAAACCAATATTTAGGCTTATTCAATAATGTTTTTAACAATTTATAAACGTCGTAGAATTTCTTGCTTGTCTTTTAAGTAAACGTGTAGATAGCAGCACCAACTATAACTCCAATAATTGTCTTTTAAATTTGATTACTCAGTTGGTCATGATAAACTACTCCAAATCCTTGCAAATGTTTATTTCTCCAAAATGTAAGGAAGTATAAATTAATCTAGTCATATTGTTTATCAAAAATAAATAAAAACCAATAATCGTAATAAACAGCAAAATTTAACGATATTTTAAAAATGCATTCACAGACAATTTATCAATAAGTGTTAACCACGAGATTTTATTTAGAAAAACTAACCTAACAAAACCGGGTTCAGTAGTTATGCGTTAAACTTAACCATTATTATGTAATACAAACAGACTTCCAAACTCTCAAAGGCACCCAGATTTATTATTGAAAGAGTCATGGAATTCCTGTTACACTTAACGAAAAGCGAGATTTTTGGTAACTTAATTTCAAAAGAAAAAATGTATAAAAACCTATCCTACACACATAAAACGATCCAAATCAGTTCATAAATAATCGCTACAAAAAGTTATTTTGTTAGATACAACTAAAACCTAAAATTACAACTAAAAACTTCGATATTTCGTTCGTTTCGAGAAAAATCAATTGTAAAAAAATATCTGATTGAACACTTTTATAGGAGGGAAAACAGTCGAGAATTTTAACAGAAGCGCCCTCTACAGAACGCCTCCAAAACTTTAGGAACATCAACGCTGAAACCCGATATGGACAGAATATTTTTGCTATTTTCCGAAAAAACTCCGCTAGAACCATCTAGGTAGATTTTCACCAAACTAAAAAACAGTCGGTTATTTGGATATAACAGAAAACTAGTGGTACCAACCGAGTTTCTGGCGATTGCATTTTTTTCGAATATTTATTCAAAGCTTCGGTTACTTTTTCCATTTTGTCCTTAACTTCCTGTGGGACATTTTCCTGCCAACTGGAGCTCATGAAATTGATGAAAATGTCGATTTGTTTCTTTTTATTGCGCGCCCAATCGAGGGGGGCGTTGGGTGAAATGTAGGCCGATTTGTGTTCGAGCAACTTATCAACTGCAGAATGAGCTACAATTTTCGAATTATAAGTGACCAAAAATTAAAAAATTAATTACATTTGCTGATGTCGACGAAATTAATTTGACTGTCTTTAAAGACAGCAACGGTGACGTTTCGCTCAATTTTTGACAAAAATCGGATAATCGCAACGGCTGCTTCCAGACACGTTATTCTTTTGTTATGGAAGCACGCCTCTTGAGCTTTTTCGGTCACGTCAATTGTCACCATGAATTTTTTCCCAGTTGGTTGCACGTTGTTGTATGACAGTTTAAGACATTTATTAATACTCTGAAGGACAGGTTTGCATTTCGGTTCTGACGGTGTTGTCAATCTTTTCAAAGTCTCCTCACGGATTTCCTTCTTTTGTAAATATTCGAGAAGTTTGGAGTCCATCGGCCTAAACAATGATTTATCATAACCAACTAAAGTTACGAATTTACTTACTTTCCCCCTTTTTCGAAAAACTTCAAATAAATGAACACTTCAATAGGATGCAAATTGCATTTTTTGATTTTTTCTGCGTCAGACAAAGCTTCACAAATTTTCGATTGAAACTGACTTCCGGCTTTGAAAAAACCAAATTTGTAAAATCGGTAGAGGCACTGTAGGATTTCGCGGGTGGTCATTTCGGGAATTGCTGCCAACCAAACCTGCCCAAACAAAATAACTAAAAACCACAAAAACTTTGAATATTACTTCTTCGTTTTTGTTGAATTTCGAATTGACGCGGTCAACAGTGACGTGAAGTTCTGTCATCAAAGTCGTAGCTCTAGCCACATCGTCGGTTGTTCGTAATTCGTATGATTTTTTCAAATATTCGATTATGGGCTTAGAGGCGTCATCAGAAGCTTCCGGGAGTTGTTTTATACCAAAAAGGACGTACTTCAGGATCGGTTCACACGCTAGAATTTGTATGTGATGTTATTACAGGAAACTGTACCGTTTTACCTGTGATGATAATAGATGGCGGCGTAAAATTTGACAGGTGGTTCCCCAACTTCCAAAAATTTTACTTACCCACATTATTGCATTTAAAATGGCTCAATTTGATGAGATCCTTATGCGTCCAGCCGTGATAACTCTCTTGCTTTGCCACAGTTTCGGCAAACTCTTTTGGTTCCTTGTTTTGGTAGAACTTGATGATCATTTTTCGCAAAGTCGTGGATATTTTCTTTTTTTCGCTCCGCTGGGTCGTGTAAAATTTAAGAAAATCGAAGAAATCTTGGTCGGTTTTAATTAACTTAAAAATGAGTTTCTTGATTTCGGTTTTTAATTCAGTTGGTATGTTTTTATCAAGTAAAGCTTCAGCCAAAAAATAGAAAAAATTCGAGCGTCTCACTAATAAGGCATCTTCACTGACGGTTGTGATAGTCTTGACGAAGTCTTCGGGGGCTGTCTTGGCCCAAGGGAAAAGGAGGTGGCCCGTAAAACGGCTGAAATGTTTGTCGGGGTTCCCCGCTAAAAAAGCCCCATGGTAGCTGCTGGTGTAGAGATAGCGCTTGAGGGTTTCCTCGCTTGAAAGTCCCATCTTACTGGAAAATGGGGGTTTTCACTAACTTAACCTCAATTATTCCCTGTCACAATGGGTTAAATAATAAATATTTAATAAAAGCTGTGACACACATTAAAAATAATAACTTCTGACGGAAGCAAGATCATTATTTTCGTCTCATTAAAATAAACGTTTTCCACATGAATCACCATCCAAAAAAAATTACAAAATAAATGGCTAAACTCAAACACGAGGTAAAAAATAAAAAAATTGAGTCTGCCTACACTAAAAGCAATGATTTTGCAATTTTGCGGTCTAGAAACTCAAAATATTTATCATTTTTGTCTTATTTAGTCGTTTTTGTTACAAATGTTCGTTTATTTATTTACTTTACCTCTTTATTGAAGGTGCACTATTTTACATTCCCAAGTTCAACTGAAAACATCTGAGTGTCAAAAAAGCACGAATTCAAGAATTGCAGAAGTCTTGATAGCGATAAAAATAAAACTTTATTTTAAAATGCTTTTTCAACAAATCATTTTATATGACAAGTAAAAATATGATTGTTGTAATATTTCATTCTTTGTAATATGTCATTTAGATTTTGTAAATGCATTTTATGACATTATTGTTATCTGTTGTAAAAGGAAATCCTACAAGCACGAAAACTAAACTACCAACCTAACAAACAAAAAGTAACATTTTGACAGTTGTGACAGTTACGGTTTTGAATTTGTTTGTGAAAAATAGATGGATTACTTTTACGGAGCCCCCCGACGCCCCCCTGCCCCACCAACGATAAACAGAGTAAGCCAACAAGTGAATAATTCTCATAAAAACATTTTTTTTTTTAGATCGATCGAGTACCAATCGTGCCTGAAGTTTCAATAATAGAGAACTCGTTTTTGTCCTTAAACCCCCCTGTAAGGCACCAAAATACTGACAAGTCTCAACTGAGAGAATCATTCTCTTGCAATAACTCGAAAAAACATGTCCGTTTTCAAAGCCCGTTTTTCCCTACTTGTGATAAAGAAAATCAGCTTCCGCAACCACAAACCCTGAAAGCGGTGCCTGATTTAAATGGAAAGACCTTCAAGCAGATTTACATGGCAAACGTGCCTGATAGACACTTGGATTTGAGTCTATTCGAACCTTCAGTGTGCGAAAAACAGCCCCAAGAGCCCCAACTGCCACAGCCTGAAGCAAGTTTCACAAATTATGCCGAGTTTAGGCAAAGACAGTCACAAATGTGCAATAAAAATAATGAAATTGCAAGATTAAAAAGTATAGAAAATGTTGACTTAAGACACTTTGAATGCCCAAAACCGGCCCCTAGACAGGTGGAAATTTGTACGCAGACTGAGCCCCGTTGCACCGAAATAACCCCCACAAGCGACGAACCCACAATCCGGGACTTGTACAAGATCATCCAGCAACAAAACGAACAAATTATGTTACTCCAACGCCAAGTAAACAACCTGAAAACAAGTATAAGACAGCCCGAAATCGACTCGGGGCCCCATGAGGATCTAAATAACAGCCCCAAAAAAAGTATTTTTTCTTTTGACGTCAAAGCAACAAGTTTTGAGTTTTCATTCCGCCCTCAACACAACAAATTCCGAAAACAAAACGATTTCCTTGAGCCAAGAATTCAGGAAATTGTCGAAAATAGTGCCGAAAATGCGAATTCATTGCGTCTTGAGGAGTCTCTAAATGTGGGAAACAGCTACGTTAGTGACGTCCCAAGTATTCAAATTAAAATGGACGACTATCGCAGTTCGGAGTGAGTTTATATCAAAATCTGAATTAATTTATTCCAAGTTTTTTTTCAGTGATGAAGAAGAGTCTCAGGGTAATAATGTTGGGCTTACGTTTTATAAAGACTTAATGGTGAGTTTTGACTCATTGAGGGTTATTTCGTATTGTTAGTATTCCAGGATCAGGTCCATAATGTTCTGAAAAAAGTCCAAAAACAGTCAGAGTGTCAAAATCGGAGACATGATTTGGCTGGCCAAACCATGAAGGCTGTAAAACAAGCAACGTTACAACATTTGAAAGACATTGGGGTGAATTTATCACCAATACAAGAGTCCAGTGAGGTCACAAGGTAGAATTTTTTTTATTTTTTTCAATTATTATTTTCATTTAATTTTATAGAGAGAGCGACTTGGACGAGAATTGTGACCAAACTGATGTCAGTTGTGCCGTCCAACAACTCCTAATGAAATATTTACCTGAGGATAAGTTGGCAAAAGCAATAAATAAGCCACTTCCCACCAAAGAAAAACACTTTAAGCCGCCCCTGAACACTGATTTTTCATTTGCAACACTTCAATATATGAAAAAGTATAACTTGATTGATGGAAACACTAAAAAGGGACAAAAAGTCGGGAAAAATTTGTCGGAGACAACTAATCCTAAGATTTTGGATGTGACAGCACTGAAACTGCAACCTAAACTTTTGTAATTATTTTTTATTAAAACGTAACGTTTATGTACAAATAAATACTAATTAGATTAAAATTGTGTCTAAATGTTGAACGATTCGCCACACCCACAGGTGCCTTTAATATTTGGATTATTAAAAACGAATTCTGAGCTCAATTTGCTTTGTACGTAATCCATTTCAGTACCTGGAAGTTTTTCGGATTATTTGTGTTGTTTAAATGGAAAATTACCTAATAATGTGAGTTGTGCTTTCTTATCTATGAAGATTCTGACACCATCTTGGACCACTTCTTCATCCATCTTATCTAATTATTGTTTTTTAACTCAAAGTGAATCATGTGGTTAAATCATGCTTACCCTTTTTATCAACATAGTCCAAAGTATATGACAATCCGTTACAACCCCTCTGTTTAACCCCAATTTTTAACCCTACCTAAAAACGACACGGTGATAGAAAACGACTACTAATCAATGATTAATTATTATTACGAAATTATCCTGTCCTTTTAACAATTCTTTGACTCGATTCACAGCCGCTGGTGTCTAAAAATGAAAAATTTCCAAAATAATTGACATAACCTCACTTTTGCATTACCAGAACTAGAGCCGCTCTTGTTGGGGCTAGCCTTTTTCGCACTGCCCTCACAGTAGCCGTTGCAACCACTCTACTTGCCATCACTTTCAGATTTATCAAATTTGTTATTAATTTACAAAATTGCGAATTTTGGTAAATGTCATTGCACTGCCAATGTAACGGTTAAAAATCACTAGAAAAGGTCAGGTCCGTACTAAACAAATTTGAACTTCCAGAAACCTTTATTATCAAATAAAATCACAATTAAATGCACATTTTTATCCAAAATTTATAAATGATCATAGTTGGGACTTAATCCAGTGTTGCTGTAGCTAAAATAAATAACACTAAATATAAATAATCGACATTTTTCACATACAGGGTGTAACGAAAAGATAGGGACAGAGTGACCTGAGATTCGCCAAATCAAAATAAAGCGATTTAATCCAACTTATCTCTATTTCTTTACGCCACTGGGATTACGTGTAACATAACATGGCTTAAAATAATAATGAAACTAAAAATAATAAAACCAAAACATGTGGTTTTGATACCAAACTGCCTGTACTAAAAAAATATTTAAAAAAACAAAATAATTTTTAAACTTTAACGCCCTCTAACTTGATGTACAGATAGGTTGGGTTAAATCGTTTTATTTTAACCTACGGAATCACAAGTTACTCTTTGTTCCCATCTTTTTGTTAACTACATGAACCTATAAGATAAAACACATTTCGTTGCAAATAAAAATCGGAGTATTTGTGTTTTATTGCTGAATGATCTATTTAAAATAATCCTAAAAAAAAACGATCTTCAGAAGTGGACAACTACAACACAAACAACTCGTTGGAACAATTATCCTAAATATAAAGATAATGTCTTTTTATTTATCAACATTGATTAATAACAACTAACAGACACACACTGGTTATGAAATATTTTAAGACAATCACATGGCACGATAAGGCCCTTGCATTTTTAAATATTGGATAACAAGCGACGGCCCCCCTGCCACAATTTCGGCAGGAATTTGTGACAACGGACAATTCTCTATACTCATTATTTGTAAATTTGAACATAACGCCAACTCAAACGGTAAATTATGCAACGACGGGTTGTCATTAACATACAACGATTCTAAATTCTCCAAAGTGCCGATCTCCTCCGGCAAATAGGCCAAATTATTCTCCCCCACACTCAAAAACACCAAATTCGACAAGTGGCCTATAGCCCTCGGCAACGACGTCAACTGATTACTCTGCACTATCAACCTCTGCAAGTCCCTCAAATACCCAATCTCGTTCGGTAACTGCTCCAAACGGTTCTCCTCCAAGTCCAAAACCCTCAACTTCCTCAAATTCCCAATACTAGGCGGGATCCGCCTCAGCAAATTATTCGACAAGACCAAAACCTCCAACGCTTGGAGGGCCTGGATGTCGTCGGGTAACTTCCCCAATTGATTCGTCCCCAAATTCAACTCCACCATATTCGTCCACGTCCCGATATCAAGTGGCAACGACGTCAACTGATTCTCCTTCATATTCAACTTAGTCAAATGTTTAGCCCGTGAAAAAATCCCATACGGAATTTTATCAATTTGGTTGTGTTCGAGATTAATCGAATCGACGTTGGTGAACTGCGAGGGCCCCCCTGAGGGGTACGCCGAGAAGTTATTCCTCGAGAGTGTAATACTCGTCAATTCGCTTAAACTCGACAACAAGCCTTCGGGTAACTGCGAGATCGCATTACCTTCGACGTTAAACTCATCCATGTGTCTACAGTTACTCAAACTGGAGGGGATAAATGACAATCGGTTGTAACGTAACCCTAACCGCGTCAATTGCTGGAGTTCCCCTATCGTATCAGGGATGTCCAGAAGCTCATTATGTTGCAAATCAAGGGTCGATAAGTTGACACACTGCCCGATTTCCTCCGGGAGGTGTTCGAGGTGATTGTGCGAAACGTCAAATGTCACCAAATTGACTAATTTTCCGATCCCAGCCGGTAATTCTTTTATTTTATTCTCCCTCAAACTGAGCATTGTTAACGACGTTAAAAATCTTATTTCATCATCAACATAACGTATTCTATTAAACCGCAAAAACAACGTTGTTAGAGACGTTAATTTGTAGACGACATCGGGGATGTCATTGAGTTTGTTGTGCCTCAAATCGAGGACTTTTAACGATTTTAGGTTCACTAAAGAGTCCGGGAGGCTCGTTAATGAGTTTTCGCTCAAGGCTAACGTTTGCAAGTTGGTCAAACAGCCGATTTCTAGCGGCAAATAGACCAATTTGTTTCCGTACAAGTACAATTCTGATAGGTGTACCAAATCCCTGACAGTGGGGGGCAAATGCGTGATGTTGGACTTACTCAAGTCTAACCGTTTCAGCCCCTCGTCCCTGCACCTGAGAAACTCCTTGGAGACGTCGAGATCGGCTTGGATCGGTTTGTTTTTCTTCGCGGTCGGTTTGGGCTTGTTGGACTCGGGGTGCTTGACGGTGACCACTTTGGGGCGCGTGATGTCGCCCCCGAGGGACCCCGACGAGTACTTCTTCTGCTTGACGCTCTCCAAGACACCTGAGGATTCGGCTTCGGGCATTTCGGATTCCGGCAGACACGTGTTCCCCGTTGCAGGTTGAGTCATTTTGTGCGACAGTTAGTTGCTTCGGCAGTGATCATTGTGAGAAACTGGGGGTTGGGGTGTTATCACTGATTTGACAAATCCGGCTGGCTTACCGTTTTGGAAGATTTCTGTTAGAGAGGTTTGCAACATCGTTGTAGTTTGTAGGAGGAGTGAGTCTGCAAGGGGGCTGCTCATGTGACAGCTGCCGGTGCCGCCGCCCTCTTGATTATAAACACAACATCGAGCGAAGCGATATGGAATGCAACGCAGAACATACACGAGAGAACAGTTGGGGGTGAACGGTTTTCACAGTTTCGGGGTGATTTTTCCAAGGAACTGCTCGGAAAATTCAATTTTTCGCAATGAATAACAAAGATAAATAAAAGGGAATCTGTCCTTGTTGCGGTGGTCGGAAGAGGTGGCGCCATCAAACGGGCGTTATGGCGGGCGATTTAAATAATGTTACTTTTGTTTGAAAAAAATATAATTTTTATCTGCTACAACAGTTTGCAATAGCAAAATACTAAAAACTGTCATTGGAAGAATGTAAAAATTAGTAAAAAATAATAATAAAATGGTCTTTATTATTGGCAAATTGGTGTTTCCTAACTTTAGTAACATAAAAATTACCAACGTTAACTGATATCTGGGAAACACAAAATGTCAATTAAAAAATAAATTATTTCGGGTAAATCCTCAGTTAAGGAAACATCGCAGAACGCAACATAGGTTTGAACACATTAATTAAATACTTTTTTAATTTTACCTCTTTTAATAAATAATATCTGATTTTTGTACCAACCTCTTAATTCTAAACTTACTATTGTATGAAAACAACTTTACAAACTTAAATTTAATTTTTGAAATTCAGCTTGTTTCACTATTGTTTTCACAAATTTAAATAAAAGGTCTCAAAATGTCGTTGTTTTTTGCAAAACATCCAGGTCTACTACACTGGAAAGAGCGCATTTCCGGTGGTTGTGGATGTACTGTGTGCGTGAAAAAACAAATTAATAACGATTTTTTTTTATTACATTTGTACAATCTTTTCATTGCATACATCAGTTGTTAAAAATATAAAATAATATTAGTATTTCATAGTTGCTAATTCTTAAAATGAAGAAAGAGATGGATGGAATTAGAGTAAAACATAAAAAAAGATCAAAAATTTTGCAAAAACAAGTATTTTTACGCGGGTTGCATGCAATGTTTTTTTCTACAATTAAATAAATAAAAAATTCCTAAAAACGTAAACAACAGAAAATAAGAAATTATCAAAAAAAAACTTTCAACAAAAATAAAAAACAGTTAATTACAGCTATTTCAAAACCATTATGTAATTAATTTTTTTTTATATTTTGTTTAATTTTGCAGGTGTATAATTGGCTGCCTAACATTAATTGCATCGCTGTTTAAATTGTTTTTTTTAGGTATTACTGTTTTCAATTTGCATTAAAATTTTAAATATTGGTTCTTTTACTCTACATTATCTTTACAATTGTTATTGCTTTGTTTTACTATGTTTTTTCTGAGTTTCTGAATTCTTGTTTTTTTCAAGAATATAACTTTAACTAAAACGACCAAAACTACAATAAATAAACCCCACAAAAAAGCTAAGTTAAGTCAAAAGGGCCAATAATTACTAATTTTCTAAGAATAAGCAAAAAATAAGCCATAACTAAACCCAGAAACAAAATTGTGACTCAAACGTTCTTAGGGTAACTCTATTACAAGAAATTTGTGACCGAACAAACCCTGTCAATTGTCACTTGTCATCCGGTTGTCATGCCATTCAACATGTAAACAACAAGTTTAATTGAATTTTTCACCGAAATTCTCGAATAAAATGTACATTTTTTGGTGGTTCTTCTCGTACTACTTGCGCCCCGTTATTAAATGGTTCCTCCGCAAGACTACCGGTTTGTGCGAGCTTCAAAGAATCTGCTATGGGAAAATTCAAGGGGCCCCTCGGACCAACGCCGTGGACTACTCCCTCAGTATGTCAAAGTCACCCCAAATATCCCAACTAATCGCCCACTTAAACGATGTAAGTGATAATCAGCGATTCGTCGGTTCTAACCTCAAAGAACTCACAAATGGGGCTGTGAACACAGTTATGCTAATCAAGAAAATCAACCCGAAAATCCACTTCCAATTTGTGATAAATTTCAGTCAGTGTGTGGAGCAGATTTGGGGCTATCGCCAATTGCTATCAGAAGTGGAGGAGCTAAGAAAGACAACTTATGACGCCGACAACTTTGAACATGAAAGGAAATTGCGAGATTTGTGGGACAAGTTGATGCCCCACGAGCCTCTAGAAGCCCGAGTAACGAAACAGTGGCAATATATTGGGTTTCAGGGCGACGACCCCAAGACGGATTTTCGGGGAATGGGGCTCCTGGGGCTGGAAAATCTCCTAGCTTTTGCGACTGAGTATCAGGACGCAGCCACCTACGTACTCTCTCATTCACATCACCCCCATTACGGTTACGCCTTTGCCATTGTTGGGATTAATTTGACAAGTCTGGCGTGGACCCTCCTCAAACAGGGCGATGCCAAGACTTATTTTTTCAATATGGTGAAAAGTGCCCCAACTTTGAAACTCTTTCACCAGTTTTATAGTTATTTGTTTTACGAATTTGATAAATATTGGATTGAGTGTAAGCCCAAGGATATTATGGAGTTTTCCACTATCAAAGACAGTTTTGAAATAAATGTAAGGAATGCGTTGCAGGATCCGAATGCAGTGTTTCGGATTAATTTCAGTGTTGACACTATTTAGCTCACTTGTGATATTATGTGGCTTTTGTAAATACGATTTTTATGCGTGGTACACTTTGTATGTTTTAAGTACACAAAGAAATAAAAAATTAACTAAACTGGATTGTTTGTAATTCATAAATAACAGAAAAAAAAAACAAAATTTCACCACAAGTCAATTGGTTTTGGTAACCCACATTTTTTATTACCATGTACATCAACATGACAAAAATTTAAAATATTATTAGTACTTATTAAGTAAAAAAAATTCTTAAATTTATCTTTTTAAATATTTATTTTTGGGTCATGAAAAGTTTGACACTTTCTGAAAGTTCACTGTAAAGCAGGCTTTAACGTCAAATTTGACTTTTCAAAACCTCCAAAACGTTCAAAATGGCCGTCACTGACAACTACTAAGGCCCGTTTCACATTTTATCAATTTTTTTGTCCGGCATAATGCCAACTTGTCATTCCAAAACTTACTATTGAATTATTCAACTTTAAAAACATAAATATACAGTCAACTTACTTTCATAACGTCCATTCCCTGCTGGTGTAATTTGGGCGATAATCGGCCAGTGTAAGTAGCTCTTCAAACTATTGGGCCAAAAAAGTAAGCATAGCTACCAACCTAAAAATTTATCACCTGGACGTTATGAAAGTGAGCTATTTTAACAGATTTTTAAAATAAAAAGTCTATCATTTTGTTTTTACGAGATTTATTTTGATTTATTTGTTCAAATTTTGGATCATCTTTTAACAAAAAAAAAAACATGTGAATTAATTTTAAAGTTCAAAGAATTTTAAAATTTAGCTATGTAAATCGGCTGGAATTAAAGTTGAGCAGTGTGAAAGTTACTAAAAGAATGTTGTGAACAACTGTGTTGCAGTGGAAAGTTAGACAATGAATCTTTAATTAAATAAAGTAAATACTCCTAATATTTAATTTAAAATATAGTACTTTTGGGGACTGACAGAACAGGAATGAAATATAACGGTTTGAAAATTACTAGCTAGTGACAAACAGGCTTGCAACATAATTAAAATGCACAATTTGAATCGATTTTATCTGTTGATAAATAACTTAAGTTTGGTTTTAAATTAGGTGTTTCAAACAACTCTGCAATAATACGAGCACTGTATATGTACACTGTTATCTACCAAATTAAAATCTTATCATAATTTTTCTTACACTTGAAAGAATTAAAAAAAAAAAGACAAAATATGTATTAAAATGTAAGACGTGGACTAATTTTGTTATCTCCTAATCATAAAGATAATTTAGAACAAATGATGTTTTTATTTAGGAATTGTGTCATTGTAAATCCTTGACTTATTTATTAAATAAACACTTTGCTATGTGCCCAGTTTTTGATAATACAAGAAACAAGAAATAGGTCCAACAGTTCTTTACCACAGTTGACACATTTTTTGCTATTGTAGTACCATTGTAGTAAATACAATAGAATTATTCGTTTTTAGAAATTTAACACCACAATATGTATAGATTTATGACTGGAAAAATGTGTTGTCCTAATTTATTACTTTATTGCTGAAGCAAAAGTAGTCCAAGTCGTTGAAAATGTGGGTCAACTTTCCCAAGTTATGCAACCAAACCGACTCCACTTTCTTTTGTTTTCCCTTAATCCCTGCATTTCCCCGTTTCTGAGAACCGGAGCTTTCACTCGTGAAATTCCCCGAAATTGGTGCACCTTTGCAAAAAAATTCAAATTTCCTGAATCCATTGACGTCACAAATCACGTGTAAGCCCCAACTTCCGGTCACCTGACCCTCCCCACCCCTGCAGTGACGTATTCTGCCACTCGTCGAGTTTCCCGTAAAATCGTAAAATAATTTTCCTCGCTGTGGCTGCGACCCGCTGCACATGGTAATGTCCTCAGAAATTTTCCCTCGTGAAAATCGTCGGAAAATGCAAAATCCGCTGGAAATCCCCGACGGAGCGCGTCCTCACGCTTAGCCCAGCAGCCATCGAGCAGCCATTTATGACCTCAAGCGCCACTTGTGTCGGCCGAAATCCGCGTCCATCTCGTCCAAATCGCGGATTTTCCTCCGGAAAAAAGGATTTTCAGGTCGTACGCGCTCTGCGGATCGATTTTCCGTCGGTATTTCGGCGGTTTTGGGCCGATTTCGGCCGTTTGGCGTCGCATCTCGGTGGTGTGTGAGCCAAGCGGCCGCCATCACAGTGTGCGCCAAGCTTGGTGAGCAGATTTGCCGTAAGTGGTGTGTGTGTTGTGTTGCTCTGCATTTTTCTCGTTTCTCATGTGGATTATGCATCGAAATCTCCAGGTACGGCCCCAACATCGGCCCCCGACAGCCCTTTATCGAAATCGGGTGTTTTTTTCCCGCAAAAAACACGTCGAGAGACGATTTTCGACAAAGTCGGACGAGCCTCTGAGGAAAGCCTAGACTGGGAGCCCGCCATGTTGTTAAACCGCCGTAGAAATGCATTTCTCAATTATTTTACGTTTTGGCGTGAAAATCGCCGTTTTCCAACGCTATGTGACGTATTTTAAGGTTATTTTGCGGTTTTCCCGCGTACTTGACAACAAACCCAAACCCACGAGCCACTCGAGACTCGACCGATGCCGACCCTTGCCTATAAATAACCGACGGCAGCCCCACTCGGGGGCGCCAGACGGGGGTGTGGCCCCGACTCACGCTTGCCCTTTGTTTACAGATTGGGATGCCCGCGACTCACTGATATGTGGCCCCCCAGGATGGGATTTCACTTTATTTCGCACTGCAGCTGATCGGTGAATTCGGTCACAATCTATTTTTCTGCGTTTGGTAAGTGTTTTTTTTAACTTGCACAATACAGGGTGACTCAAATTTGGTACGCTCGAAAGACAGCGGGGCTCTATACCGTTTTTTCATGCTTTCACAGGTGGGGCCTCGAAATGTGATTTACGCGAAAATATAGGGAACGCGAAGTTGGGTCGCGTAAGTATTTGTCTTTTTAAAACCGTTTATTTAATTTTTTATTCTTTGTTTTCAGTTGTTTTGTTTGAAATTTTATTGTTTGTCATGAGCCTACCAGATTTTTCTCACTCTTGCAAATTAATTGGCAGAAAAGGTTGTTTCAATGGAGGTAAAAATAAACCAAGGTCACGGGACCGTGTAGTTTTTAGGGATATTTCGGTTGGTATCACTCCAATTGACTAATTAATTAGCATTCTTCGCAAATTACTATTCAAATATTTCTCAATTTTTTTTGTTAATGTGTTGGCCATCAACTGAACAACACAGTATCGACTTCTGGTATCAAACTTTTTCATTAATTATCGAGTTTTCTTCAGAAAATTCTTGTATAACAAAAATAAATAGTATTCAAAAATATATTTACCTCCGATGATTTCTGGTCATTAGCGTTAGCATTTATGGCCCTGTTATTACTTTTTAATGAGTAATATTTACTTTTCGTCTGTTTGTCTACAGGCCGGATTAAGATGGGCTAATGTTGATTTTCTTTCTTCAGTCAGTATGTGCAGAATGTTTTTATCACTGGTTATTCAAAGAATAAAATTATCACGAAATTGGTATTTGTTACCGATTTGGACCTTGCATTATCGTTATTTTATTTCTTTCTCTTTTGTTTTAGAATATATTGTGACAAAATGCAGCAAGTTGAGCCACCTATTCAAAACAACACAGTAAGTTTTCTCAGTTTATTTATTACTAACACTTAAAATCACAATTTTTGTGATACTATGTTTGTTTGCATACTTTACTTATCTGAATGAAACTCGAGAAAAATGTATTTTGTTTCAGTATTCTTAACGTTTGTTTTGTAATTTTGATAATAAAATTTTATTTTTACCTGTTGCATGTTATTAAAAATGGAGAGAGACACTTCCTGAACACCTTATCTAGGGAAAAAAATTAATAATAGAGCAAGTTTGAGGTTGAAATTAATGGAACTTGTCACTTGTTTAATTATTCATGATATCTTACAATGATTCCATTCAATTATTTATACCAGAGTTAATTCAGTGACAGTTACACTCTTTAATTATTTTGTAATGATTATTGAATTTGTTTTGTTTGAATTCACTGTTCATAGTATGAATTGATTATCATTTATGCTATTATGACAAATACAAGTTTTTTCTAAAAACAAGTAAATTATAACGTTTAATTACCTTTTTTGTCTTTCTTCTGTAAACTCCAGACACGATACAAAAAAATATTCTTCAAATAAAATTATTTTTGAAACGAATTCTTTTTTTGTTAACAAAATTTCGACGAAGGAATATGAGATAAAATTTAAAAAATCATAAATTTGTTTAATAAAAATTGATTTTTGATCGAAAACAAAGTGCATACTCAAAAAATTAAAAATGCAGTTTTTATTTATTTGATTTTTTTTTATTTATGTTGTAATATGTTCATATAATTTGTATTGTAAAAAACTGATGTGATTATTGATTAAAATATTGTGACATCCGTTTCAAATTGCTAATCTGTGAATTCACAACTGAATTTTCCATTATTGTATTTACTTTTAATTATCTAACATTTAAAAGAGTACATTTTTTATAAGAAATTATATTTTTTTTACGACAATTAAAAGTTTTAAAAATATATTCTTTGTCATTGCTCATAAAACAGAAGCCAATTGTTTTTCTATTTTTTTTTAGTTCTCACATTTACAAAAAAAAGAATTTGCTAATCAATTAAACTATTGTAAATGTCAAACTAAATACGGTGTTTTTTATACTTATTAAAAATAATTTTTAAATTGGAAATGGATGAAAAAAATTCATGTTTGGGTTTGATTTTTTCCTTACAGAAATTTTAGTAAATATTGAGCTATTATTTTATGTAAAATGTTTTTATTAAGTTGTTTTTTATTGTTTGTATTAAACTGTAATAAAGCTGTTGCTTTTCTTTTATAAATCAATGCGGCTTGTACCAAAAACGCTAATTAAAAAAAAGTGAGATCTCCAGTCATATTCATGCGGCCCTAAATTTTTAGGGTGCGGCAAGCAAAATGAATGAACCCAGCAAAGAGAAGGACCCGCCACCTCGTGTGGATCCAGTGAATGGTATCGTACAACCACCGGTTCATCCACCACCAGATCGACCAGGACGC